TTCAATTTGATACAGCAAAAATTTATTAAAATCCACAATAAAATGCAAAATTGCCATTTGCAACTCTGCTCTAGAATGGAGGACAACTGAACTACCTACCAAATGCCTTGTGCAGGACAGTACAAAGGATTGAGATAACTCCAGTTATTATTTTTATTGCTCTATTTTTATTACAGTGAGTGAATGTTGTGTTTATTTACTTACAATTAAATTTTTAGATGCGTTAACTTGAGTTAGATCAGTGTCCATCTCAGGGATGGAGAAAAAAGAATGCTACATAGTTTTTAAGAACTTCAGGAACTAAACTGAAAGTCAAGAAACATATGGGAACAAATACTAGAAGCAAATATATGTGCAAATTGACATTTTACTAAGAACATGCTTAAAACTTTGCATTTATCGAACATATGAAATTGAAACTGAAATCTATTCAGCCAATAGAATGTATTTCTGAATGCAGAAATACACATGTTTTGCATTAACTGAAATGCAAAGGTTTTCTACTTTGTCATATCATGGTTTATTTTAGAGACATAATATTAAAAGTGTGTTAATGAAAACATTTCTATTTATAGACTTAGAGACATTTACTTCCGTAAAATGTTCATCTTTTTGCCAGGGTCAATGCCATAGCTCACAGTTAGACTTCCAAATTAAGATTTGCAAAAATAAAAATGTGTCATTGATCTTGGACATCAACTTATAACTTACGTTGGTGTATAGCTAGTTCCTGATTTTAAACCTATATACAAATAGCTATGATTATGGCTTTTTTTTCTGGATATTTTTCTGAAATGAGAAAAAACAAAAGAGAAGTTCAACTTTGTACTTTGTCCCTGTTCCTGGTTTTCTTTTTCATGTCTTCTTTCCTCCCTTCTTCCTTTCCTCCTATCACTTCATTATTTAGCCAATGATTTTTTCTGCTGTTGTTAATGTCTGTGTCTGACATTATTCTCTTAATCCTAAAGATGCAATTGTTTTAGGCAAGTCCCCTCACTATTTCGGCATTATTGTCTTAATCCTAAAGATGCAATTGTTTTAGGCAAGTCCCCTTACTATTTCTTAACTGTCCTTAAAGAGGGCTAAAAGAGTTCTTCAGATACAACTTTTACTATCTCTCTTTCTACATGTCTGTGAGACTGTTTTCTTTTGTTACCTCTCCAAATAGGATTTCAGCTTTAACCAAATTTGGTAGTAAAGGAATTCAAAAGGTTTTAAGAGGTCCCACCACCACCCCACTACACCTGATTTCTGATATTCCACATAATCTAACTAGATGAATGCACCTCCTTCCCCTTCAGACTGTTTGGGAAGGGATCCAAATCAAGCTGTTTGGAAGCAGGTACACAGAGGGTAAACCCTGTAGTTAGGTTCCTGGAATTGGAGACTCTGTAGAAAAACACAAAGGACCTTTTGGTATTGAGGTCGAGATCACTGAAAAAGTAGATGTCTTCTCTCTGTGGAATCATCTCTGGGAGCTCAGCTGTGGCTTCCTATTGTTGAGTTGCTCAGTCAACTTCTTATCCACCCCACCCTACTTACCTGGAGAGAGATTTAAAGTGGCCACGGTCCTTTGTGGCCATCTTCCAGATGTCTGTGTGTTTTATCAGTATACACTGACAAAAATCTGTCCTACCCACCTCACTGGATTTTCTTTAGGGCCCAATGTGATAATGTATGTGAAATCACTTTGCTAACTATAAAGTATGATAAAAATGCAAGTGGTTTTACTGGAAACAAAGAACGCTAGAAACTGATATGGTAGAACAATATTAGCCATGTACATATTGGTCAGTTCAGACCCTCTATTTTTTAGCTGCTGACACAAGCCACCTTATTTATGCAGGTACACTTTTTTACTCACAGGAAATCATATCATTAGGCAGGTCCACAGCTGTTCCTTGTGATGTTTTACCATGCAATCTGGAGGAAAAATTGGGAGAGTTTATCAGCATGGAACCATTTCATGATGAGTCGTAGAAAAAAAAAATCTTGTCTGCTCAGAAGATATGTGAAAAATGTTTATGGACAAGTCATTTAAATTATATCTTTAAAGCCTTATCCTCTATTAACTTTCCACTCTCCTGCAAACTTAAAGACCCTCTTTTTTCTCTCATTGATCCATTAACATAAAGTCATTTTCTAATTCACTATTATATGTAATTACAATTAGAATGGATTTATTAATTCACGGCTATTATAATTATTATTAATTACTCTAAACTACACAGTATTTCATATAATCTGTTCCATAACTCTTTATCTTCAGAAAGATAAAATTCAGGGTTATACCTGAGGATAACAGAACCCACAAAATCAGTTAGGGACTGTAGTTTGGACAAGGAAATAAAAGTATTTAGCACTTCGAAATGAAGAACTAAATAGAGCTCCCCATGTTTATTTTGCCTTCATAAGATTAGACTTCTTAAAATTGGAAATATCAATACAATCTCCAAATTCTACTTTCTGTATTGCTTTTATTCATCACCAGTTCAAGGAATAAGATGAGCTCAAATTTTTATTTATATATATCTGTAACATTGGATAGATAATAAACAGTTTTATCTGTTTTCATTGAAATTTTTGTAAAATAGAAAATTAAGAGAAGGTAGTTTTTAACCAGAGCCTGGGAACTATTTCCAAGAAATTGATGTTAATTAGAAAACAAATTATTTCAGTCTCTGTCCAAATAAGTTATTGCAGTATTTAAAAATATTCCAAGTTCTATGTATTTACTTTACCTAAAATGACATCCTTTGCTAACCACCTTATTTATCTGTAACTAATTATTTTATAGGTTGTTTACTCTTCTCTCCAACGACCAACATATCATATTGACACTTGCTCTAAGATAATGGCAAGTGGCAAGAATAAATTATAGAGAATCCTGTTTCAAAGTAAGCAAAATTTTACTATGGGGAAGGAAGCCTGCTGTGCCTGCCTAAGCAGACATTATAAGCAGAGACAGATAGTTCAGTCTGGGGTAAAGGCAAAGTTCTTTGTCTTAAGAGATTCTAGAATGAATTTGAATTAGAAGAGATACAAAACACATATAATTAGACATAAATTTTACTTTTTCCCAAAATAACTCAGTTTATTCCCTTCTATAGACTATTTATGCCTCAACCCAAGAATCTCCTATTTTGATACACAGTTGTTATATGTTGCCCCACTTCTTCAGACCATGTATCTCAAGAAAGGTATTATGTGACATCTTTTAAGATGTCTGTGTCATAATCAACAAGTATGCACCCGGTCCATTAAAAATGATATAGATAAGAAATGGGACATTCTGCAGAATCCTAGAAATCCCTCCACCGCTGTTCCTAGTTTATGTCTGTGAGTTACCTTGGCTGGATTCAAAAGCCACTGCTCCTTGGTTCTTGTTCTGACCTCAGTCTTTGGCATTTCCTGTAGGACTTGGTAATTACCTTTAGCTCCCTTCCATGATCCACCCGAACCGAATGCCTGTCCTCCCACTGCCTCTTGGCAGTCTTGCTGTACCAGTCCCATCCTGTGCATGGTCTGACAGTTATTTCGGGTGTTCCTTTTATCTATGGTACCATATGTATTTGGCCAATTCAGGAAAATAAGCAGTTTATTTTAATACTTTGTGCACTACCTGGGAGGCCAGTTAGGGAGCTGCTTTGCAAAATAGGCAAAAGACTATGAAAATCAAAACTAAGATGGTGGTATTTAAATGGAAACACGATGTATTTAAGAGTTATTAAAAAGATAGAACAGGATTTGATGACTGACTGAGTAAGAGAGAACGGAGAGGGAAAAGCCATGCAAAATACCTTAATTCTGGCAAAAGAAATGGAGGTCATCATGAAGCCATTTACTGAAATGGGAAACACAGGAGGACAAGCAGGAGAAAGATGTGATTAAATTCAGCTTTGCATAATTGAATCATAGGTGTGTCTGTAAGACAGTTGTGATGTCTAGGATGTAGGGCTGCAGATCAGGCAAGAAATCTAGGTTTGGAATATATATTTGAGAATAGAGTCTTTTAAAAAGACCAAATGGGCAACGGCATTACAAAAAAAAGTCAAGAAGTCACATGGGATAAGGATGGAAACCCACTGGGTTCAATACAAGTGGCTATTGATGAATATGACCGGTACAGTTTTAATAAAATGGTGGTGCAGAAGCCAGAACAGTGAGGATGGAAGAGTAAATGGAAAGTAAGGGAATGAGATGCTCTATCCTTACACTGAGGACAGCCAGACTTTTATCTCATCTCAAGGTTAAGAAACAGAATTACTTAAATGTTTTCTAAAAAATTTTTTAAATGAAGTCTTCTATCTCTTAGCATCTATTTTTTTCTTTTAGGCATCTCTGCTGAGGTACTTTACTTTAAAGAGATAATGTATATAGAATGTTTAGCACGAAGTCTAACATAGCAAATGCTCAGGTAATACAACTACAGGCATTCCTAATGATCTAAATCTAATCCACTTCTAAAGACATGTGAGAAGGCAAATTTTTGGGTAGCAAGAGCAAGTATTTTATTTTAAATGGGAAACATAATAATGCATTCTTCGTACTTGCAAAAACGCCAATAAATTCCTCTAAAGATCATTAAAACACTCTTAAATATCCATATAATATCTACTAAGGACTTATGCATTATATAAAACATAATACTTGATTATTTAACATTTAATGAACACAGTGATATGTTGGTATGGATTATAGTAGTATCAGAAACAGATTGCATTTTCCTTCTATACTGCAATGGATATGTGTTCTAATGTAAATAAATAAGAAGATAGTATGTAAAAAAACACATATTGAATGCAGTTAACATAACAACATAAAATAAACAGATGAGGTCATTTTTTTTTAAATGCTTGCTTTTAGAATGAGATGTAGCCATGAGGGAGACCTTTTCACTTAGCAATGCATAACACCTTCAAACAGGGTGAGCACAAAGCACTGTTTTGGGGAGAATATCTGAGATATGAATGCAACATATTCTTCATCCTCTTTTACAGCTTTCTGGAAGTTACATGGAGATTCATGATAAGAATTTTGGATTCACACACTGAATTTGGCATAAATGTTTTCAAAGGTCAGTATTACACTAAGTGTCATATGGCCACTGGGGTAACTCAAGAGTGCTATCGATACAGAGCAGGTGTGAAGTAGAGCAGTGGTTCTCTATCAGGAATACTTCAGCCTCCAGGGGACATTTGGCAATGACCTAAAATGTTTGATTGCCACCAAATATGGGTCAGAGATGGTGCTAAATATCCCACAATGTACAAAACAGGCCTCCAAGACAGAATAATCCAGTGCCCAATTTCAATAGTGCCCAGGTTGGGAAACACTGAAGGAGATAAAAAGAATGGAATCAAACCAGTATTTCGGAGGAGACCTCAATTGGAATAAGGAATAGATTGAATACTGCAAAATCAGAAGTTGGACTGAATTGCTGTTATTAGCTTGGGGAACTTTAAAGTGGATCTTTTCATCAACAGTATTAACAAATATAAGAAAATGAGTTACTTTGAGAGGGGACTAGAAGGAAAAATATTCATTTCAGCTTTCACCATGTTACACTTTAGGTATAGATGGAATATCCAATTCCATGAGGTAATTTTAATTAGTGTAGGAGTTTTTCTCTCAGTTTTCTGCTTAGTTCTTTTATAAAAAGCGTTTTGATACTCTTCAGGTTTTAAATCAACTAACACTTCTTCTGAGCTCTAACTCTGTGCCATGTGTCATACATTTTTCACATGCAGTCTCCCTTAATCTTCAAGGAGTTACTGGAGAATATTACTAGCCCATTTTAAGGATGAGAGAAATGAGGTTTAGAAAGGTTAAGTAACAAAGGCAACACAACTACTAAATCATTGTACTCGGATTTAAACCAATGTCTTCCAATTCTAAGTTCTGCACTTTTTGCTAAAATAGTTTTCTTTTAGTATTTGTGCACATTCCAGTTATTTCAGACAACCCCCTGCAACCACATCTTTACTAAGTTTAATAAGTAACTGCCCTTAGCTATAAGCACACATGCATATTTCTTAAAATACATTTTTCCTTTTTATGAAAGTAATACATGTAGGGGCTTCAAAGATATAAAAAAGCCTAAGTCAAGAGGATAAAAATCATCATTAATTCCACCACTTGGAAATATCTACTAATAAATAATTATAGGTAACAATTTGAATGTTTACTATTTTTCTTTTTCACTTTTTCTCTGCTGATGGTTTTGCTGATGTGCAATGATATTTCTACAACGAATCATGAAGAATTAGAAAGAGGAGATAAAGGGAAAGATGGTGCATAAGCTAGAGAATTAGCTCTGATATTCATAGATGGTGCATAAGCTAGAGAATTAGCTCTGAAATTCATAAAGAAGAAATTTGGATGGAGGGGGGATGGGGAGAGGGTAATTTCCAGAACCTCTTTTTTGCCCAAGGAGTACTAGGAACTTAATAAATCTTAGGCCATTTGTCATCTCTATGCTCAGCTAATGACAAGATTAAATTGAAGCTATACTTTCCTGAGTGCATGTCATTTGCAGATGCAGTACTAAGAGCTTTACTCACATTATCTCATTTTATCCCTGCAGCAACCTTGAGTAGGATATTATTTCCAACTTAAAGGAGAGACAGGCTCAAAGAGGTTTTAGAAACTTGCCAAGTTCCATATCTAGTCAGTGAAGAAGTGAGAATTCAAAAGCAAACTTGTCTGGCCACGGAGGCAGTGTTCTTATGCTTTGCTATGCTGCCTCCTCTGACTGCAGAAAATCAGGCGTGGAAAAGTACATTATTCAGGAAAGTGAGTCAGAGTTGAGCTATACAAGATATTGGGATCAATGAGATAGAACACTCACAGTTTCTAGCTTCAGACTTCCTTTTTTCTTTCTTTCTTTTTTAAACTAGAGCGCCAGTTTATTAAAAATGGATAACCAGACTTTCTTTCCTTTGCAGAATTGGGTTGATATTTGGCCTCTGAAATATGGCCCCAAGCTTGAGCCACTGGATGTTTTATGCTTTACTCCATTGGAAAAATACAGTGTGATAAGGAGTGTGCTTGAGAAGATTACTATGTGCTTAGCACACAGTAGGCCCCCAATAATTTGCAGAATAGTGATCAGAGGATGGGAACTCCACCAAATTGGGGATTCTTTCCTGGAGTAACTTTAATAAGCTGACCCAGATTGCTCCTGAAGTTTCCCACTTATGTACGTAGAATGACTAAATTTCAACAGATATCGGTGGACTGAAATTACTATTACTTTTCTACCTTTCATAAAGTCAGACTACTGCTCTTGGAAAAGAGAATATTAGTGTTAAAAATCACGTGATCACAAATTATCACATTTTCACTCAAATCTAAAATAAATAAACACAATTCCTTTGGTTTTGACAAAATGTTTTGGAAAAGGTCATCTTTGGTTTTCAGTTTCAGGCTCTAGGATAGAGTTGTGGAAAAATAAAGACTTTAAGTGAATAATAGTTTGGGTGCATTTTCTCAGCTAGCCCTCTAGGTTGGGAATATACTGTGTATCCGTGGAAACATGCTTTTCTGTGAAGCTTGATATAAATCATTGGTTTTACATGAAGGCTTATATTAGTCTAGTCACTCACAGATACTTTTATGCATAATTGTTGGATAATAATCAGTGTTTATTTTTGTGATAAATGTTTCAAAGCTGCTGTTCTCTGGGGTTCTCAGATAAAGGAAGATACTTATCTTACTGGAATATTAGCTGTACTACAATTAAAATGAAATGCAATCAATAAAATATTAATGCAGGTATGTTTGAAGATGGTTAGGTCCGTATCTATCATTCTCTAGTTCATTGAAGGTCATTATATAAGCAGAGTCAATGAGTTAACCAGTAAATTAGAAACACAATATCTGTCTCATTGTGGGTCTATTATTAATTCCTTAATAAAGTGCATTACTTGATGAAAGTAGATGCTGCCTATTCCTTTTAAAACCTTTTGCCAGATTGAGTTGCTACTTTAAAGTTCAGGTTACTGAACATTATTTTTAATGCTAGAAATCACTGTAACACTGTAGGAAGTAGAATCATAGAATGCTAAGGCAAGAAATGGCTGTGTCTAATTGTACAAGCTTATGGCAAAAAGCAAACACCAACAAAATTACAAACAGAAATAGCTATTCATTTGTGTTTTTAAAACATTCACTTTCATCATGTAAACAGTCACTGGGTAATTAGAACAGGTTACAGATACTTGTGTGAGTTTGGCAATATTACCAAAACTGCATCAATTCTGTCAAAATACAGCTACTTTGTTAGACTGATCCCAGCCTTTCAGCTCTGCCAAAAATAGGTTGACTGATTTAATGCTATTTTTCAATTTGATTGTTAGATAAAGGTCTTTTGCAACAACCAAATCAAGCTGACCGGTTGAATCCTCATTCCTGCTCTTATTCACACTTCCTCATTACCTTTTCATGTCTGAACAAGTTACCCAGAGTAATGGAGTAGAGAAAATAGTCAGCTCTTCCCACAAGATGGTTGTGTCTCAGCTTTTCAAAGCACCAGAAGAGGAATGTATCTTGTGCCTTATGCATGTCTGTAAACTGAAATTACTGATTTGCAGTATAATAAACTATTAGAGATGGCAGACACCTTGGACAACATTCAACCCAGTGTTTCCTGCGATAAGGGATGTGTACCATTAGTGTGTTTCAGATAATTTTAGGAGGTATACCAATGTTGAAAGACACAATGAGAAAATTCTCTTCATTTCAGGGTTTTAGGCTTCTGATTATAGCAAGAAGAAAGTCTCAGACTGGTGCTGACACAGAACCCTCTAACACTTTTCCCTTTTGAGAAATAGAAGGCAAGCCTCAGGCTCAAAGTCTTCAGCATACAACTATATGGAGCTAGAATTTAATAGTACTGTATGGTTTTCATTAATTTCTTTCAAATTGTGATCTATTTATGGCAGGAACATAAAACTTCCTTTTCAAACATGTTTATTTCACTTAAAAAATTTTAAGTTAACTTAAAGACAAAAAATTAAGTAAAACTTGGTGCAGTGAATACCACAGTGTAAATATGGCATAAAGGCTGTAGTCATTGGTATGGTAAAAATCATGAAGCTGCTGTGAGAATGGCTGCAGCACAGGGAGTCTGGGACTAAGGCCCTCACTGGACAGATAGGAAACCCAAAGCCTTGAGACCTTCTATTTGAATAATTTCTAAAAAAATGACTAGTTCCAATCATCTCCTTCAAAATGGTCTTTTTCCCATTACTTTTTGAACCATATACATTTAAGTTCAATCTTAAAAAACAGTAAAACTTGTTTCTTCATTCCCAGAACTGAAGGAAAATTAAACCAGGAATTTTAGGAAAATTAAACCAGATTTGTGAGACGTAAGTTAGTTAAGGAGGAAAGTGGAAAACAATTCTCCAGTGTAAAAATTAAGTTTAAGTTCAAAGCTAAACTACTGGTGTTTTTTTCTCTTTTGAGGCTGGTTTGCCTAAGTAAATCAAAATGTATTTTGTTTTAAGTTTACTAGTCTTAAATAGTTGGAAACACAGCAAGACTAATTTTCTAACCAATAATTTTTTTTTAAACATGTACAGGCGTTCACTGAAATACAAATCTAAAATGCTCCTAGAAAAAAAGTTTAAATTAAGGGGGAATTATGTGTCTTGAAAATCTTAAAAATGGTATAATTAAACTTGCAGTCTGAGAAAAGAAGCCTAGAGATTTTTGTGAACTCCAAAAATCTTGACAAGAAGTATTTCTTCAAGGCCTGAGAGGCATGTAGGAGGAACATCCTCCTTCTAAGAGCCACTCATGGTCTCCAAAGGTACTGGCCACTCCAGACGAGTAGACACTCTGGAGGACAAGGAACCAAATTTCAAAATGACACAATGGTCACTGGATTATTGGCTTTTTAAAAATAAATAAATAAAAGCTTTCCTCTTATCATCTTGTCCACTTGTTATCTATTAACTGAAGCCTAGCTCTCTTTGGGGGAGTGGAGGAGAAGAAGCAAAGGACAGCAGAGTCAAGCTGGTTAATCAGATGACTGGGCATTAAGATTTATGCTGTATATAGAAAGAGGTG